GAAGAATCATAAAATGAGATGTGAATCAAATTCAATCTGACTTCAATCTGTGCTTTAAAAACTATACTAATTTACATGAGCTGTTATGATTACGCAACGCTGAAGCGTTCAACTCCCATAGGACTGTCATTATGAGCTTGGCACAAGTCAAGGGCCATGCTTGTTGGATAAGAAATTAGAAAACACTCGGGCGACAGAGCGAGACTCCGTCTCAAAAAAAAGAAATTAGAAAACACTCAAAACGTGTTCTTTAAACGCACAGCAAAAAAACATAGAACTGCTAACTCAAATGTTCAAGATGTAAATATATCCCAGCTACTCAGGAGGCTGAGGCAGGAGAATCAGTTGAACCCAGGAGGCGGAGGTTACAGTGAGCTGAGACAGCGCTGCTGCACTCCAGCCAGGCTGGTGACAGTGCGAGACTCTGTCTCAAAAAAAAAAAAATTGAAATACAACAACAAAGAAAGAGGATAATTTACAGCAAAAGTCTACTGCATAAGACAGAACAAAATTGTTTTCTCGGGTTTAAGCAAATACTTGATATGGAAAACCAAGTTGAATTCATTATTACTTTTAATGGAAGTAACGGTCACGTGACAATTGTACGCTGAGCTCCCCGTTCATCCCTGAGGAAAGGCTAAGTCCCGGCAGAAAGCATCACTAACTTTGCAAAAACTCCAGACAATGAAACAGAGACCCAAGACAATAATTATTCTGAAAGAGACATTGAAACTGCCCCTGGGTTCTTGTAAGATTAGAAACCCAAGACAGTGGGTATATGAGGAAGAAAATATTTTCTTCATCCATTCAATAAATATTTGCTAAATGTCCTTCATGGGGCATGTGTTCCCTTAAGTGTCACAGGACAAAGAGTTTATAGTCTGATAACGGATGTAAGATGTGAATATAAATCACAGGGTTTCAGTGGAGGAAAAGACAAGGGCTACCCAAATGTACGATTTGTGATGCTACTGATGATTCTGCAGATTAAAAGTTTGATCCCAGAGTGGTAAATGCATTTCCTTCTGGGTGTTACACAGCGCTCAGTGGTAATGTTAATTAAACTAACCCTTATCTTCTGTAAGTCATGCAGGGAAGGTAATGATGAAAGATTGGCATGTACGATAATTTGTTCTCCCAAATAACTGAACTAAAAGATGCCATTTATTACAGTCACATGGTAAATATAATGAATCATTTTTCTCTCTCAGTCTTTCCTTCACCTAGAATGTTTCTTTCAATAAAACACGGCTCTCAATTTTCATTTCTGTGCCAAGAAGCAGGTAGTAATCATAGATAACACTTTTTTTTAGCATTTCTCCATATGTTACTTAATATATTATTTCAATTAATTTCTGGAGCACCTCGATGCAGAAAGTATTATCGCCTCCATATTATCATGAAAGAAAAAGTACAGCTAAGGAAAAATGAAAAACCTGCCCAGAATTACTCAGTTAGCAATTGGTTTGAGGTGGAATCCACCTTGTCTGGTTTCTGGGTCTACAGGCTTCATCACATTCGAGGCTGCCTCAGTGTCAGAGGAATCAAGATGAGTCCCTCCAGTCACTTTACTGCCAGCCATGTTGACAAGCCATTCAAGCAGCCACTGCAATGTATCCACAGTAATATTATTTTAACAATGGAACTCAATCACTCAAAAAAAAAAGGAGTATATGCTTGCTAATAACTATGACTTATACAAGCTATAAATACTTCCTGACTAGAAGTTTACACTCTACCAACATTCATACACAGCAATTATCAATCTATCCACCTTACATATTGCTAAGAATTCTTAGATTTGCAGAACAAATAAGAGAATAAGACCTTTACAAGGTGTATTGTGTGGTTCAAACCAGAAGTGTGAAAAGAGGTAATGAAGAGGGGTGAGTGAGACCGAAAAACACTGAGGCATAATATATACATGAAGTGCACAGGGAAGCCGAGGTGAAGATGAAAGGTGTTGGATCACACATCCAGGGATGCAGCACAGTGAGGTGAATAAGAGAGCTCAGAATCCTCTGCCTCTGGCTCAGATGTGCAGCCAGTATGTCCTGTGGAGTGAATGGGGCAGCCTCCGTTCCATGGGCCTTTCAGTTACAGAATTCTTGGGTCAGATTAAAAACCCCTGCTGCTATTCAGCACCTTTGTTTGGGGAAAAAAGCCTCGAAATTGCAGGACAGTTTGCATATTTTCCTACTCAAGTTAATTTCACTACTTTGAGTTGTTTTTTTTTTTTTTTTTAAGCCAAGTACAGAATCAGACAAATGTAAAATGTATGCGTTATTGTCAAAAAAAAAAAAAGTATAAACTGTTAGTAGGGCTTTCCTTTCAAATTCAGTGCCACAGCCTTAAAATTAGATCCACATTTCTTACAGATAGGTTTACGTTTCCTTTATATGTGTTCACATTCTCTCTCATCACTCTTTCTCTTTTTCTCTGACATTATCCATTTCTCCCTTTCCATGTTCCCAGGCTTTTGAAATTTAAATTCTTGATTTTAATACTAACCACGCAGGCTAACAGCAGCAGCTATTTGCCAAGTGACAGATGAGATGGTAGGAGCAAATTTAAATTCATTGTCTTAGGTTTGTTTATTTGGTGTTATAAATCACCACCGCAGAAATCCAGGAGGGAAAAAAAATCCTTCAAGGTGCAGTCTGTCGTACTGAAAGAAGTGACCTTAATACTTTCTTCCTTCCCCTTCGTCTCTTATGTTTTAGTGATTGAAAAAGGAGTGGGGTATGATGAGAGGAAGGGAACGTGAGTAGCCGTGGATCTGAAAGGAAAAATGGTATATGCTCACAGGCCAGTCTGCTTCCTGCCTGTGTGTGCCTTTACCTGCGGCTGCAGACAGCAGCAGCACACAAACTCAGGAGGATTCTGCAAAGCACCTAGCTGTGTATATTACTTCTCATGGCACTTACCTAAAATCCAATTTCATGGCCAGATGCAGTGGCTCATGCCTATAATCCCAGTTGTGCCCAGGTGGGAAGATTGCTTGAGGCCAGGAGTTCAAGACCAGCCTGGGCAACACAGGAAGACCCCGTCTCCACAGAAACATTTTTAAAATTGTCCAGGCCTAGCAGCTCACACCTGTGGTCCCAGCTACTCGAGAGTCTGAGACAGGAGAATCAGATCGCTTGAGCCTGGGAGGTTGAGGCTGCAGTGAACAGTGATCATACCACTGCACTCCAACCTGGGTGACAGAGGGAGGCCTCATCTCAAAAAATAATAATAATTTAAAAATTCAATTTCTTCACTGTCCGTAAAATTGATTGCATTTGTTAATTCAGAATAATCTCTTATGTAAATAATGCCAAATGCAGTGATATTCAGAAAGTGTCTATGGCAAATATTTGCACAATATAAACATGAGCTAATATGTTCAAGAATTGAAACTAATACCAGTTCTTTCACTGGCCATGCTGCATATTTCACTGCCTATTTGTTAAAAGCACTAAGACTAGAGTTTAAGGTCAGTGTGTGGATCTGTTTGCTCATAAAACATTAATCGCATAAATGTTATGGACCAGTTGCCAATAACAATGGTCTAATTCCTCAGGTATACGTATTCCAGTGAGTTTTCCAAAAGCAATTAACGGATAGTTTTAGGGAAAACTATCAGTCGATAAATATGTCATAATATAGTATTTTTTAATGAGTGGGAACAACCTTTTGCTTACTGCTTATTCTCTTTTTTGAGAAGGAGTCTGGCTCTGTTGCCCAGGCTGGAGTGCAGTGGCGCGATCTCGGCTCACTGCAAGCTCCGCCTCCCGGGTTCCCGCCATTCTCCTGCCTCAGCCTCCCGAGTAGCTGGGACTACAGGCGCCACCACCACGCCCGGCTAATTTTTTGTATTTTTAGTAGAGACAGGGTTTCACCGTGTCAGCTAGGATGGTCTCGATCTCCTGACCTCGTGATCTGCCCGCCTCGGCCTCCCAAAGTGCTAGGATTACAGGCGTGAGCCACCGCGCCCGGCCGCTTATTTTCATATTGACATGAATATCATGCAATTTTGTGAAATTGTAATTATTTAAATTGTGAATGAGTCAGGATCAGTATGAATGCAAAAATTACTCAGGATTTTTTGAAGGGAGTAGGGAATGGCCTCACTAGATTACAACGCAGAAACCCCAGTCTGAATTGGCTCATTTGTCTTTGCATTTCACTATTTCTTTGCAGCGTTCAGGATGAAAATTTACCCACTCAAGAATAACAATATGCTCCACTCTCTAAAAATTAAAACTCATTTTAGTTCTAAAACACATTTTAAAAGAGCAATGTTTTTATCACGACTCTCGGAAGTGAAAGGGGTGTTGTGTGGGTGTGTATGTGTTTAGGGAAGTGGCTTCCAATTCCCAGTGGAAAATGTTCCCATGAAGTCAACGTTTCCGCAGTAACTCAGGGCATTGTGGCAAGTTCTCAGGAGCTCTAACGTAATAATCAGACATGTCCTGGCCATTACAATTCCACTTGTGTCAGATGGTATTATGCATATATAAATTAACTAGATGTCACACAAAGGAGACCCATCCCACTTGGGATAAGACTAGGGGCTGGTCCTTGGAAATCAGGAAAGCACAAGGTCTCACCATTTCTTAAAATACTTGCTGCAGACGTGTGTATTCTGTTTCCCTGCATACCTACTATATTCTGAGACAAAGAAAGGGACTTCAAAAAGTCCTTAAGAAAACCAAACAAACGCTCTAAGCAGCAATGCTTCTGGTAGAAGAGAAACAAAATTCTTTCCCTTCCTTCAAGCCCCCTTAGGATTCATTCTCAGAAAGTTGGACAAAGCATGTCACAGCTTATGTCTGAAAGCCCGCAAAGCCAAGGAGTAAGGATCCAGGAAACGTGCAAGGAGGGTGCCTGGGGGTAATGGAAGTTACTACAAATATTTCATTTCCTAAAGTGTACCTGCGAAGGTGAGTGCGGCAGGCGAAGGGGTCGGGGGTCCCAGCAAAAGGTATACGCGCCCGGACCACGCTGCTACTCACGCTTCGCCATCCCCGGAGTCGCCGTCCGAGGCCCCCTCCTCGCCGATGTCAGGCAGGGTAAGGAACAGGGTTCTGGGGCCAGCCCCGGGGGCCACGTAGGCGCTGGGCTCTCGCTCTCCGGGGCCAAGCTGGCGCGGGTTCCGCGGGAGCGCGGCCCAGGCCCCGCCGGGGCCCGTGGTCGGCCGCGCTGGGACCACCAGGGGTGTAGGGGAGCAGACCTCGCCGGAGGGAGTGGGGGGCTGGGGCGGGGCTTTAGTCGCTCTGGGGCTACTGGGCCACGAGAGCAGGGTCCCCACTGCTCCCGCGGCGCGGCTGGCGGTGGAGCCCCGGGAGTAGGAGGCGGGGAGCAGCGGGGCGGGCGCCCGCCGCGAGGCCGAGGGGGAGTCCGGAGCAAGGGCGCGGAGGAGCGTCGGGGTCGGGGCGGTGCCCAGCGGGGTGCCCGCCCTGGAACCCCCCGACCTTGCAGCGGCAGCACCTCCGGAGGGTCTGGAGGAGGGGCCTGCGGGGGGCGCCGTCGAGGTCTCGAAGAGTTTGGCCAAGAGAGACCCAAGGTCCAGCACAGCAGCCTTCATGCCTCGACAGTGGACACGCCGTCCTCGCCGCCGCCCGAGAGTCCAGACCGCGGGGATCCGGCCGAGGCGGCCCGGGCGGGGGCGAGGAGCCTGGGGTCCCCACACCCGGAGCCCCGGAGGCCTCCGCCTCCGTCTCCTCCCCGAGGAACCGCCCAGGGCGCTCAGCTCCGCGCCGCTGGGGTCGCCCTTCCCCGGTCCGGGTCCGCCCGCCGAGCGCCCCGGCTGCGGGGAGCAGCGCCGCCTCGTCCCAGCGCCGCGAGACCCCCGAGGGCCGAAGGGCCAGGAGCCCCGGGAGGCGCGGCCGCCGCCCGCCCCAGACGCCCGCCACCCGCCGCCCGCGGTTGCTACGTTCAACACACCCCGCCGCGCTCCAGGCTAATTGGGCCCCAGGTGCGGCTCGGGCTGTGCCCGCGGGGGACGCCCCACTCCCCGCCTGGTTCCGCCTTAAAGGAACACGCCCCCATTTCCCCTGCGCTTGGAGCCTCGCAGATCCCATCCGAGAATCCTGGCTCCAAAAGGTTCTGGAATTTACTCAACCTGACAAGCTCGCACGTGCTGGGGTCAGGTCACCTCTCAGCTGATAGGGAAGGTAGGTAGAAAGGTGTACTTGGGCGAATGAGCTTGAAACAGCAGCGCCCACCCCCCTACCCCAGGGTCCTGCTCAAAGGGTGGGGTGGGAGCGACAGCGAGGTGCGCCACCCACGAACCTGCAAACAAGACTGGCTCTGAGAGCTAAAGTAGTAAGACCCACGGACACCTGTTTAAACACCTGTCGGAGTGAACCAAGAGATTGTGTAACTCAAATGTTTGAGAACTCAAGTTATAATCGGAACGACTACAAATTCAAAGACAGATACGGAAGGCAATGTTTTTTATTAAGTAAAATAAATTGTATTTTGCTTAATCTGAAAATCATATGTGAAAGGTAGAGCGTATGGGTGCGAGCATCCAAAGGGGTGTGGGGTCAGTGTTGAACAGAGTAAAAAATAAGATACTGCAGCCAGGAGAGGTGGCTCATACTGTAATCCCAGCACCGGGACTGGGAGGTGGGAAGATTGCTTGAGCCCAGGAGTTCCGGACCAGCCTGGGCAACAATATAGGGAGACCCCATCTCTACAAATATTTAAAAAAAAAAAAGCCGGGCGTGGTGGTGCATGTCTCTAGTCCCAGATACTCAGGAGGCTGAGTGATCACTTGGGCCTGGAGTGAGCTGTGATCGCACCACTGCATTCCAGCCTGGGAGGTAGAGTGAGACTCTGTGTCAAAAAAAATAGTAATGAGATATTGACGGAGTTTGTCCATTAATATTCAGGGGAGGATCTCAGGAGATACATTTCCTGATTTGGGGTAGGGAAAAGAGATGAATTAAGTCTGGCAGTGAATAAACTGACATTCATCCTTATATACTTGAATCTTTTGTAAGCTATCAAACTGGAGTCTGAGCCACGGTAAACTTCTGTAGTAATGCTAATTTTTGCGTTATTTGGAGGCAGTTAACCAGTCTTCTGCTCATGATGTCCGGTCATGATCCCTTTTCTGCAGATAACTGCCACCAACAAACATGTACTAGGCACTTGTCTGCTTCAAGATTGCATCAAGCACAGACATGCAAAGAGCGGTTCTCTTCCCAGAGCATGGAATAATCCGCTTCACGTCATATGCCAAGTGTCTGGTGAGTGCCCTAGAAAACAAGCACAGGTGATGGCAGCCATCGTGGTCAACATTCGCTTGGGGACAGCAGAGCATTTGTATGCCTAAGGGAAGTAAGAGGCATGGATGACTATGGTCAGATTTTAAACGGCCTTGGATGTTCAGAGAGGCGAGATCACGCAGTCGTCAGCATGTGAAGCACCAGCACAGAGTGGAGAATCAAAATGAGAGAAAGAGGGAATTAAGAACAGACATCTCTGAGAGTGGCAATGGTAACAAGAGAGAGAGGGCTGGGGGCAAATCAGGGAAGCAGTGCCAACTCCGTCACAATGCAGAGACACCAGCAACAGGCTGCTGTTAAACCATGAACTTTTCTCATGCTCTCTTTTTCCTCTTATGCAGCAACTCACCAGGTAGCCTCGGAAGTCTGGACGTTCCATCCGAACACTGGACTGTTTTCATACAGCACTCACTCAGGACTGCAAAGCAGTTTCCCCCAGATTTTTTGTTTATCTTATAAGGATCTTATTCTGATTCATGGAGTAATTAAATCCTTATTATATCAGGTCACTTTCAATGCAAATAGAAGTCATTTCTACAGTATGTGCTTTCAGTGAGTAAGCTGCTAGTCACTCCATTGAATCTGAACATATGTAACTTGAAATACCAGCAAGGGAGGGTCACCGTGAAGCAAAGCTTGAGTCAGCGCACCTAGATCCTTGGGGGTAGCACTTGTTTGCTGCCAGAACTCAGGATTCCTGATATTTCAGACTCAGAAATCTTATTGGCCCAGCACCTTCACAGCTGACCAGTGTCTCTCAGTGTGGAGCCCCACTAACCTGACTCATAAAGCACTGATGCCGCGTTGCATCCTCTGCTCTTTCCCCATAAGAGGAATCCCTTTAGGACCAAATTAATTCCAATGATTGTTAGGTGAGCGTGGAATCAAAGCAAAGGGAAGGAATCATATGGTTCACATACTGGAGGCATTAACCATTAGAACCAAGCACCCTTCTCCTTCAGGAGCAACGGTTCCTGAACAGTGGTGCATTCATGCCGCTGTCTTGGGCTCTCTGATTCTAGATCTTTCCATGTTTCCCTTAATAACCACTTCTCTTCTGTGGACATACTTTTTTTTTTTTTTTAAAGTATACAGACAGATGCTGTTAATAAAGCTAGAGAGGCTGGGTGCAGTGGCTCACGCCTGTAATCCCAGCACTTTGGGAGGCCGAGGTGGGCGGATCACTTGAAGTCAGGAGTTCAAGACCAGCCTGACCAACATGGAGAAACGCTGTCTCTACTAAAAATACAAAAATTAGCTGGGTGTGGTGCCGGGTGCTGTTATCCCAGCTACTTAGGAGGCTGAGGCAGGAGAATCGCTTGAACCGAGGAGGCAGACGTTGTGGTGAGCCGAGATCGCACCATTGCACTCCAGCCTGGGCAACAAGAGCGAAACTTCGTCTCAAACAATAATATAATAATATAAAAAACAAAGCTAGAGAACAGCTGCATACCCTTCCAGATCCTGGCCTTGAAAGCATTCTGTGTCTAAGGTGTGTTTGCATGTGGCCTAGCTGTGGGTACATTTGAGTTGTGGGCCCCCAGAAGATGTGTTGAAGTCCCATCCCTAGTTCATGTGAATGTGATCTTATTTGGAAATAGGATATTTACAGATGTAATCAAGTTAAGCTGAGGTCATTAGGATGGGCCCTTGTCCAGTACGATGGGTGTACTCTTAAGAAGAGGGAGATGTGGGCACAGACACACGGGGAGCACCGTGACAGAGGCAGAGGCTGGAGTGAAGTGGCTGCAAGCCGAAGGGCGCTACAGGCTGATGGCCACGACTAGACGCTAAGAAGAGGCAGGGATGACTCCTCGCCTACAGGTCCCCGCAAACACCTCAGTTAGGACTTCCCGTTTCCAGAACTGTGAGAAAAAAAATTTTGTTGTTTTAAGTACCCAGCTTATGGCACTTTGTTATGGCAGTCCTAGGAAAGATCCATGATTGGGGAATTAATTAATTTCGGGTTACTTCAAGATCATAGTGTCTTGCTTGTACCTCTATGAGAGTCTTTAGTGGGTAAATTCACTCTAAAAAGCTGGCTACAAATTGAAATGGTAATCGTAATTGTTTTAAATCTATAGGGAGAATGACAAGAATCATAAAAAGGAGATGGTGGTGGTGGGGAAGAAGTATCATCCTTGGTTACGGTAGTAGACGTAGCATTCTGACCAGCCAGCCGCATGAAGAAGCCACACGGAAGGAATAGTGGATCCTTTCCTTTGGAGGGCTTTCCTTTGAAAATGACCTATAATTGCAAACACAATAAGCCATTCTTAGCAAGTTGTCCACTCTTTTGTACCCATTGTTCATCCATCAACAGCCTTTCATAGACACAGCCAGGCTTCCCTGTTAATTACCAGCAGCATGTCATTCTCAGAACATGAGCCTCAGGTGATGTGGTCTGGCTCAAGCAGGATCAGGCAATGAAAGTAAATACAGTAAATAGTTAATCTTTCTTACTACTGATTTTATACAGACTATTAGAAATGTCAGGGTAAGGCCTGGCGTGGTGGCTCATGCCTGTAATCCCAGCACTTTGGGAGGCCGAGGCGGGCGGATCACCTGAGGTTGGGAGTTCAAGACCAACCTGAACAACATGGAGAAACCCCGTCTCTACTAAAAATACAAAATTACTAGGGCGTGGTGGCACATGCCAGTAATCCCAGCTACTTGGGAGGCTGAGGCTGGAGAATTACTTGAACCTGGGAGGTGGAGGTTGCAGTGAGCCGAGATCATGCCATTGCACTCCAACCTGGGCAACAAGAGTGAAACTCCATCTCAAAAAAAAAAAAAAAAAGAAAGAAAAAGAAAAGAAATGTCAGAGTAGTGCTTTATGTGATAAAATTATTCTGCCTATATTGATCAACAATTTCATTAATTGTCTTCCTGATGTGTATAATAACGCTTGGTTACATCATGGAGAAAGTATTAGGAAATTATGACCATGCTGCTATGAGAAAAAGTGTTTTGGAAACCTGAAAGTTAAAACAACCTGAGTAATCTGTTTAAGAAGTTAAATCTCATCACTTAGCATGACACCAGTATTTTACAAAGAAAAATACTGTCAATTTTTATTATAAAAATGTCAAACTTCTGAACAATGAGAAACATTTGTTGATTCAACAAACATTTACTAAGCACCACAGGGAGACACTGCAAACAGGTGGACTGTGGGTCTGAACTGTGTAGGCTCATGGTCTGTTTTTGCCACTAAACAACACCAAGACTTCTCTCTGTTTGTTAGTTTCCTCGGCTGTACTTATCTGAATGGTGCCTTGTAAGAGTTATATTAACTAATACATGTGAGGTCACTGGAACAGAGCATAGCACTTGGCAAATTCTCAGTAGATGTTAGTTTTTATTATATATGACCCCAGGTTACATTGAATAACTAGAGAAAAAGATCTAGAAGGAAATTATAGCTACATTTGCTTCCAAGTTTATTCTTTTTTGTATAATGTGAATAAAAATTTGTTTGCAACAAATGTGCATTATTTGTTTTCAGTGATAAACACAATAAATGAAAACCTCTGTAAAGTCTTGGGCAAATTTTCTTGCTATTTGATTCAGCCCTCTGGATTCTACTGAGGGAAAACTATTAAAATAACAATAAGAACAATTTTAGGCCTGATGTGGTGGCAGATACCTGTAATCCCAGTTACTCGGAGGCTGAGGCAGGAGAAGCTTGAACCCAGGAGGCGGAGGTTGCAGTGAGCCGAGATCACGCCGTTGCACTCCAGCCTGGGGGACAGGAGTGAAACTCTGACACAAAAAATAAAATAAAATAACCCAGACGTGCAATGGTGAGATCAAATTTTAAACTGATCAAAAGGCAGTGTTACATCACAGTGATTCTTGATAGACCATGACCCCATTCCCCGAGTACCGTAGCAGATACAGTGTAGTGGGAAGGCGGAGGACCAGACCACAGAGGCAGGTAAGGTACATTTAGCTGCAGGGAACAGGGAGATCCCTCACTGGCCTTAGCTTGAGTATTCAAGATGCTTAAGTAGCTCACAATTCACTTCCCACAGTTCACTGCCTCTGGGATTGCTGCGGTAAATTACCAATGTCAGACTCAAGTTCATTCTCTTCGTTCACACATTGTCAGGGTGTATGACTTGTTTCCTGGTGTTTCCGAGGTGTCACCCTCAGCACCAGCCATCTTTCTTTAAATAGCTACATCTGGTCGGGTGCCGTGGCTCACGCTTGTAATCCCAGCACTTTGGGAGGCCGAGGTGGGCAGATCATAAGGTCAGGAGTTCGAGACCAGCCTAGACAACATAGTGAAATCCTGTCTCTACTAAAAATACAAAAATTAGCTGGGTGTGGTGGCACATGCTTGTAATCCCAGCTACTCAGGAGGCTGAGGCAGGAGAATTGCTTGAACTCGGGAAGTGGAGGTTGCAGTGAGCCGAGATCTCACCATTGCACGCCTGGGTGACAGAGCAAGAGTCTGTCTCAAAAATAAATAAATAAATAGCTACATCCAAGGTAGTAAGAAGGTTCAGGTCACCCTCTCTCATTAAAGAACGAACTACTTTCCAGAAGCCTCTCCAACTGAGTCCCATTGGCTATAACCAGGTCAAAAGTCCACAGCTAAACTAATCATCAGAAAGAGACATAGACCGAGCAGGGTGGCTCACGCCTTAATCCCAGCACTTTGGGAGGCAGAGGCTGACAGATGGGTTGAGCCCAGGAATTCGAGACCAGCCCAAATATTAAAAAATTAGCTGGGCATGGTGGCTTATGCCTGTCTTGTTAGCTATTCCAGAGGCTGGGTGGGAGGATCACTTGAGTCCAAGAGGTCGAGGCTGCAGTGAGCTAAGATCATGTCACTGCACTCTTCCAGCGTGGGTAACAGAGTGAGACCCTGTCTGAAAAAAAAAGCAAGAAAAGAAAAGAAAGAGGAAAAGAAAGAGAAATAAAGCTATTTTTCTAGGGCTAGAAGGGATCCCCTTTCCCTGAATATGCTGCCCCCTGAACAAAATCAGCATCCCTAAACCAAGAAAGAGTGCGAGGTGTGGGTGTCTGTTGGGCAGGTAACTGGCAGTGTCTGCTGTAGTTGGGAGCTCCAATGAAGAGTCTGACTGTCCATTGTTAGTAGACTAAAAGGGCAACTACTGATTTACAGCACCTCTATGCTCTGTTAATTTCATGCATGCACAGAGCACTCCGCCATTTCAAATGCTATCATTCATGAGACAGCAAGATACCTTCTCAAAGTCAGCCTTTGAATTTCCGGATGACATGCCAACGTCATATCATAGAGTGCTTTGGTAACAGGCTCATAAAACACAAGAATAACAGCTATGCACACAGACTTTAGACATACCCATTCCCCCGGAGTCTGTGTTTTCCTGCTGAGCATGCCTCTAGACTGGGGCATGATCCAGGGAGAGCAGAAGAGGAGGGAAAGGAGATTGAAGGTAGATAAAAAGAGAGATAAGATGAAGAAGAGGAAGATGAAGGAGAGAGCATGGAATTGGGGAGACTCTCCTTAAAGTTTGGAGCGCGCCTTATGACACTTCCTGCAAGTTATTTGAAAGTACAATACTCAAAATCCTCTGTGCCAAGGTTAACAAGAAGGTCAATTTTCTAACCACAGTCCTGAGCCATCCCTTAAATACACCCTCCCGCTTTATACACTCTACCATTATGCTCAGAAATCACCAGGGGCTCCCTAAGGAGGGAGGGCAAGGCAAGGGGCAGTCGTTCCCTCCCCTCTCTTCTAAGCTGGGATCTGATATTAGGACCACATACTCTAAGGTCAGACCATGACACGTGAGCCAGCAGAGATGGATGACATGGCAGGAAGCTGCAGAATCACTAAGCTGCCAGGAGTGGGGCTGAACTGTGATCGGGGGAGTCCAGAGGGACCTTCTGTTTCTCACCACTGGGTACATAAAAGGGTTTCTCTGAGGAAGGATGAGCTCACTGGACCCAGAGCTCATCTCAGTGGAAACTGCTTGATACCAAAACAACCTGAAGAACAGCTCTTTAAACCCCCTTGCTCTGAAGAAGGGTGATTTTCAGCAAAGTAGTAGACTGGAAAAGAGGCCCCAACTGAGAACTCCCTTCAAAGTCACATGGTGGCCGAGGCAAAGCCCCGCTTCCCACCTAGGATTTGTGCAGATCCTTGCACCGGCACGGTGGATCTCCAGGTTGCATACTTACAGGCACTCACTCTGTTCACA